CATCTGACTGTCATCTGACTGTCATCTGACTGAGGTGTGACTGTCATCTGACTGAGGTGTGACTGGTCTGTGCAGGCGTACTGGCATCCGGTGAAGGACCTCATCGTCTGCGGTCGTTTCCCGGACATGACCTGCTTCCCGGAGCTGGGGCCGTACCGAATGGTGGACATTTATGACGCAGCCACGGGCAGGCACAGGTGTGAGATGAAGGACGTGCGCCACGACAAGATTGTCTCTGTGAGTGCTCTGGTGTGGTATGCTCCTTCTGTCCTGTCAAACGTCTATCGTCCTTATCTCCCCTTTTTTATGTATGCGGGTGGTTGGCGGGTGCTCTGGTGTGGTTTGCTCCTTCTGTCCTATCAAACGTCTATCGTCCTTATCTCTCCTTTTTTATGTATGCGGGTGGTTGGCGGGTGCTCTGGTGTAGTTTGCTCCTTCTGTCCTATCAAACATCTATCGTCCTTATCTCTCCTTTTTTATGTATGCGGGTGGTTGGCGGGTGCTCTGGTGAGGTTTGCTCCTTCTTTCCTATCAAACATCTATTGTCCTTATCTCTCCTTTTTTATGTATGCGGGTGGTTGGCGGGTGCTCTGGTGTAGTTTGCTCCTTCTTTCCTATCAAACATCTATCGTCCTTATCTCTCCTCTTTCTTTTTTCTGTATATTACTCTCATTTAACATCTCTAATCTGTGGCACTTATATTACGACCTTATTGTGTTGCAAGTGCCGTAAAACTCTAACTAAAACCTAAACTGTCTCTGTGAGCTTGTGCATGGTGTTGTTGATTTCAGTGTTTTAGGGGCTATTTGGGAAGGGGGGGGGGGCGCAAGAAGATTGTCATTTTCTTACCCCTCTCACTTTGTCTGGTGTGGTTTACTCTTTCTTTCATGTCTATCATCTATCGTTCTTATCTCTCCTTTTTTTGTGTTTGTTGCTATTTTTTTTAACACTCCTAATCTTTGACACTTATATAATCTATGTATGTTGCAAATACTGCAAAATGCTTGATAAAACGTATACTGAAGTTGCACAGTGATGTCATGCCACTGCTAAGACATGGATAAAACATAACTGAAATTTTTTTTCTCATTAACACTCTGATTTTGAAAATACGAAAGGCTGGGCTTTTCTGGATGCATTTTGCTGTGCTGAGGATTTGCGCAGATTGTTTCAATGAATTAAGCATGATGCAATAATCAATTTTTGTGGGTGGTTGGCGGGTGCTCTGGTGTGGTTTGCTTCTTCTTTCCTATCAAACATCTATTGTCCTTATCTCCCCTTCTTCTTTTTTATGTTTGTTACTCTCTTGTAACACCTCTAATCTTCTGGCGCTCATATGACCTTCTGCATTTGCGAGCGCCGTAAAACCTCTACTAAAACTAAAACGAATCAATTTTTTAACTTTTAACGTAAAAGGCTTCCAAACAAAAGAAATCTCGTCAAATTGTAGGATTGTAGGTCTTCATAAGTTTCTTTGCCCTTTCTTCTTTCTACAGCTGTGCAAGTTCAATAACACTGGAGACAAGCTTTTGACTTCAATGGGTAAGTTGTTTAGGGATTTGTTCTAGGCTTTCTTTCTTTTCTATTCTTCTGTAATTCCGGAGGGGGGGTCTTTTTGCTGTTTTGCCTTTTCAGTTGTCAGGCTGGCGATTTGTCTTGCAAGTGCTGTAATACCTCGAACTGAAACAAACAGTTCTGTCAGGACATTTTTAGAAGGAGTTAATTACCATCTTTGAATTACAGTAAAACCCTACCCCCCCCGGGGCGGTGCCACTGACTGAAGTGTCTTTAGGCCATTCCCAAAGGGGGGACATTTCTCGTCCCCCCCGGGGCAGTGCCACTGACTAAAGTGTCTTTAGGCCATTCCCAAAGGAAGGACATTTCTCGTTCATGCACAGTAGAATTGTAAATGGGCTGATTCATCAATGTCATGCTCATGTGTGCCTGATCTATAACAGGGAACTGCTGCTTTTTCTTTCCTAATCCTTACTATTGTCATTTGTCCACTACTTCTTTTGTATGTTTCTCACACTCTTATGACCTTAGCAGTTGCGAGCGCCGTAAAACCTTATACTATACTATACATACATCTTATGACCCACTATTTCCGGGGTGCCTTGATAGTCGAAGCAGACTTTGTGCTGTTAAAGCTAGAGAGGTGAGCAGAGTAAGTCTGATTCCCTTTAAGGACTTCTCTGTTGACATCCACCCCTTGGCGCTCATATGACCTTATGCAGTTGCAAGTGCCGTAAAACCTCTACTAAAACTTAAAAAAACAGTTGACTTGTTTTCTCAGGGTTCCAAGTGCATTTGTGGTCCCATCAGTCTTTGCTTGAGGAGGATTTCGCCTCGGAGAAAGAGCGGGATGAGCTGGCCAGGACGTACGGTGGTCTGTGGGAGAGGTCCAGCGGCAGCACGGGACGACCAAAGTCAGGAGGAAGTGGAAGGACGGGTGGCGGAGACGGGAAGAAGAAGCGAGGAAATAGTGACCACGATTACGACATCACAGCTTTGAAGAAGAAAGCCAAGGCGGAAGCGTCTCGGAAAAGAAACACCAAAGAGGGAAAAGAGTCGTCAGGGAAAGGTTCAAAGTCTTCACAAGGGAAGAAACCGGCAAAGTGATTCTGGGTGGCCAGTGGCAGGTAGGGCAGTGACAATTTTGACCAGATATTTTGTGCCGCTTTTACAGACAGTACTGGAATGTAGGGCAGTGACAATTTTGACCAGATATTTTGTGCCGCTTTTACGGACAGTACTGGAATGTAGGACCTCTAGACAGGTCTCGTTTTTTCTGCTGTTATTACAATTCATGTCCTCAGTTGTTGTGTGTGATTATCACAAAGATGCAAACAGATCCCGTTATCTGATCAAAATGGTTGTTTGAAAGCGGACCAACCTTATGTTTTCAGCAGTTGTAGTTCCCACAATTTACAGACATAACTGGAATTTACCAACAAAAAGACAGCTCACATGTTTTGTTGCTTTTATAACAATTCGTGCCCCCAGTTGACATGTGTAATTATCTACAAAGATGCAGATGGGGTGTCTCTCTGTCTCATCAAAATGGTCGTTTGAATGTTGACTGACCGAATGTTTCCATCTGCTGTAGTGAGCTGCCGTCACGTGTATATAAATAGCCTCCTCCGTAAGTGTTTTGTTGATGGCGTGTGGTTGGAGGGCTCCTCTCTTATTACTTCCTGCTTCTTTTCTTTCCTGGCTGTTGTTTCTGTCTTGTTGGCGGTTGCCAGGTGCTCTGGTGTGATTTGTTCCTTTTTTCTTATCATCAAACTTCTAGTGTCCTTATCTTGTCTCCTTTTTGGTATATATATATTACTCTCTTGTAATGCCTGATCTTTGGGACTTCTAGAACTTATCATGTTGCAAGTGCCATAATCATATAATTCTTACTACAGCTTCTGTCTTACTTTCTCTCCACATACTTAATGACTTTTTTTTTGGGGGGGGGGGGGGTTTGGTCAATGTTCTTCTCTAAACGTGGTCTTGTTTTTTGTGAGGAAGACGGGGTTCTTGGGTGGCCATCTGTACATGAAGACAGGGTTCTTGGGTCGCCATCTGTACATGAAGACAGGGTTCTTGAGTGGCCATCTGTACATTAATTTGGGAGAAAATATTTGAGAAAGGTTGGGAAAAAAAAAATTTGTTTCCCTTTGGGTAGGTTAGAACTGTCCACATCTTTGTTTAGTTTGTTGCTAAGAGTACCACCGTAACAGTCCTTGTGGGGACTATTAACTCATTGAAGACGCAAGTTTTTCACCGAGAATTTCCCTGACCGAGAATTTCCCACGAGACGCATGATTTTTACCTATTTAAAAAAAATCAGTGGGATAAACCTAACAACAGTACAAGTATAAAATTTGACGAAAAGTAAGATCATTTATGTATATTTACATAAAATGCATTTATTTTCACAAAATCTTTGAAAAATTATGTTCTTCGTGAGAAAAAAAAATGTATGTAAACGTGAAAAAACCTTTTTAGATGAGCTAAGCACATGGTTGTCAAAATTGACCGTAGTCAAATAGAATGATTTCAAACAAGTAATACAAAGTGTAAGAAAAGAATAATGACAATGTCCAAAAGTTGTGGGCATGTCAGCCATTTTTATAGAGGTTTTTATGAATTTTGGACATATATACAGTCTCGCTGAATACCGCTACTGAAAGAGAAATGTCAAGTCACCAACAAAATTCAAGATAAAAGAGCAAAGATGGAACACAATGAACAGTTTCCTTCTAAAAGAAGAAGCAGGTGCATGGAATGCACACACACACACACACGCACGCTCACGCGCACGCACACAAACACTCACACGTACACACACACACAAACACACACATGCTTACACACTACATGTCATAATATACATGTAATACATTATAATATAGTCAAACAAATAAAAAAGATAACTAAGCATAGTTCTCCATTGAATGAAATGCCTCAAAGCAAGCGGTGGGACACAGAGGCTTTTGGCTCGATTTGCATCTGAAGTGCCTCTAGGGTGCCTTGTTTTTTAGGTCTGCTCTGCTCGCACCAGCTGTTATCATTTTTGCGTAGCACACAACACAGGCAAGGCGCTTCAGTCTCTGGCCCTCAGCGTTGATGTGCTCCAGAAAGTGTCCTCCTGTGAAGGCCTGACCTGTGCCAACGATTGTCTGAAATACTGATTCGTCGGTGTCTTGATCGTCTTGACCAGAGGGTCAGTATCAAACAGTTTATAAAAATGGAAGGGAGTTGCGTCAGCAGCCATAGTAGTCTAGAAGCCACTGTCCCCAGTAAAAGGTGGTTCCAAGGGGAAACCGTGACAGTTTTTCACCCAGTCGAACATCCCCTCATCATCTTGCTCCTCCTCCCAACCACCACTGCCACGTTCTGCACCTGTGTCTTCATCACTGCTGCTAGCAGCTGGCTCTAACGTAGGTCGAAAAGGTCTAGATCTAGAAGTTGTAGCTCCCGAGCTAGGCCAGGCCCAGGTCTTGGGTCAGCTTGGCTTGCAGGATCAGCTGATCCAGAGGCAACGCCCATTTCCTCTTCTTCCTCACTTGTCCCACTATCCCTTCTAACTATCAAACCTTCCTCGTCGCTTCTGAGGTCTTCAAAAGAAGCATCAAAGTCATCACCACTCTCTTCAAGTGCTTGGTAAGGAGCATCGTCGTTATCTGATCCCTCCTGAATCATCTCGATCGCTTCTAGCCATGTTTCTTGTTTACATAAAAAGTAGGTCAGGTCAGCGTGTTTCACAAGATCGCTTATAGCAGACAATTCGGGTGACCAATGGTCAAAGGGACACAACAGCAATAAAGATAAATGGTTTAACTGACACTAGGAGTCATTCCCCTTGAAATTCTATTAGTTTTTAGGTTTAAAAAAAATGGTACAGTTTCCCAGAACCCGGCGCGTCTTCTGCGTTTGTTGACCTCGCCGGCGAGTCGTCAATGAGTTAAGGAATTATATTATAGTCCAGAAATGTTACCCAGGCTCTTCAAGTAACTCGTTTAGATTTTCTATTAGACGGGGTGAATTTGCATAGATTCACTGAGACCCAGGAATTCCACAAGAATTTGAGAATAGGCGGATTTCGCCGTAAGGTCCCACAGATTTCCCACTTTTCCAAAATTTTGTGATTTTTTCAATCTTTGTCTAGACAGATGTATCATATATCAAATTGAAGCTCTTTAAAAGGGGAATTCAAATATGTGAACTAAAGAGTCAGCGAAGGTTCAGGAAAAAAAAATTAACAAAAAAGCGACCTCTCCTCAGTATTTCCAATATAATCCAATGTTTCAGAAAAAACACCACAATCCATGAACACACAGCCACAGTTGAAAAAATTTTGTATTGCAGTATTCAATTACCCCCCTCCCCACCAAATAAAACAACAAAAAACATTCCAAAAAAAGAATTAATCTAAAAAATGTCTCCCCCGATTGTCTGTAGTTGGAGGGCAGAGGACCATTACCTCCTGGAGGTGTACGACACAACACATATCTCTGGGACATGAGGGAAAATGAAAGAGAGAAGCCCCTTATTTCCTCATGAAGGAAACAAGGAGCTCTCCATATCCTAGAGCTTCTTGTGGTGGAATGACCTGCAAAAAAGAAATGGAAAGAATTATATTATAGAGATCTACCCATATAAAAAAGATTTTAATCAAAATTGGGACTTTAGAAATCTATTCTTTTATCGAGAATAAATTAAAAAATCACCAGCTGTCTCCATATGATAAAATAGGTGTAGCATGGATTTTAACACCAATTTCCAAGGGTAAAACATTTATTATTATTACTGTTTAGTGGATTACATAAAATGAACCTAATAGAGAAATATCCGCCTTCAGAAAAAAAAGGGAAACATATAGAAATATTGAACTGAAAAAAAAACCCCAAACAAAACTTGGTAAAAAAGTGTTGAACTGAAAAAACAAAAACAAAAATGAAACATGGTAAACAAATGTCAATCTGAAAGGAAACAAAAAAACCCCCAGTGAAACATAGAAAAGAACTTTTCAACTGGAAAAGGTACAGTTGAAACATGGTGGCGAAATGGTGAACTAAACAAAAACAAATGCAATATGGCAGAGTTATGTCCAGCTGAAAAAATAAATAAAACATGGTTGAGAAATGAATGTTTGGACAAAAAACCAAATGAAACACGGTAGAGAAACATACAGGGGGAAAAAACAAATGAAAGATGATAGGCAAAGAAAAGAAAAATTTACAACGGCATTGTACGTGAGTTCCTTCCTTCCAACTGTGTACGTATAGAAACGAAGTCTCCAATCCTTGGCTCAGTTGGATCTAAGGTGGTGGACTCGGTTTCCTCATGCTGGTAGGTAGAAGGCTCTGGGTCCTCCAAAAATGCCTCGTCAAGGACACTGGGGTGGCTGTTTCATAAAATAAAAATAAAAAAAGTTGCTTTACATCACACATACACTACACACGCACACATGTGTATCAATGAGTTCATGCAAACATCCGTAGAGGTAGAAATTATTATTATCATCAGTTTTATAGGAAAAAATGATCCCTCACCTTGGTCGGATCTTGTGGATGATGTGGGTGCCGACATACTCCTGGTTGTGGCACCCACCTTCATCCCTCCGACAGGCAGGGCAGAAGCATGCCAGCGTCCTGGTCTTTATAATGTAGTTGGAGACCCTCTCCGCCTGGTGGATCCTCCGGGTCCCAGGGATGGTGGTCATATCAGTCTCTGGACGGTACCTTAGGATTTCATTTTTTCCAACCAGGAAGAATTCCTGTCGGAAACCGTCCTGAGATCTTTCCCATACTCCGACCCAAAGAAAAACGTTGTATCTTTTGGCCTGAGAAGGGAAAACAGTAGAACTGTACCTAAAATATCTCAATGTTGTGATGAATTAGGGGCACAGAGTACGTCATAATTCATGTATGCGAGATGTGGGTACTTATTAACAAAAAGGGCATAATTTTATACATTGAAACAAAAAAAGCCAACGACATAGAAAAGACAAAGAGAGGGATAAGAACACACAACTGATGAAATTATTTTGTTACCAGTGTACAGGCTAAGGTCAGCAAAGGTGCCCTTTCCTTTGTACTGGCCAGCACAGCCATCACTGAATATGTACATTTTTTGTACATTGAGTGCTGTCTTGGCCAAAGCCTCCAAGGACATCACAGTGAAATGGTGCACAGCATGATAATCATGACATATATCGTCTGACTTGAACACCATGCTGTGCCTCACTAGTCCTTCACCACTTCGGTAGAAGCAGACGATGGGATGCATGGTGATCTGAGACTTGCCAAAATGGGCACTCTTTTCTGTCGTCTCTTCGGCAATTGCTTGTCCAGTCTCTGACACGACTGACGTCCAACCCAAACAGTATGTGAGTATGCTTCTCCTTCTTCCGTACTGATTGACGTGTCCAGAATTTTTACCTTCTTCCTTGTCGTTCCATCTTTATGCATTTCAAATCCTGTGCTTCTTTTCAGTACCTTCTCACGGATGAAACTCATTCGAATGGTGCGGTGATGGCCAGCCATGACCCGCCAGAGAGATGGTACAGCGTTCCAGAAATTGTCAAATATCAAAACTCACTTTAATGTTTTTGTGGGAAGTCCACGGTTTTGGAGTAGTAAAGAGTTGATTGCAGTATCACCTTTTTTTCCCCGTCGAAGGCACGTTGGATAGTAGTTCTGGATTTGACATGAGGTGCTTAGATTGCATCACAACTTTCAGCTGCTGTTCGATATTGTGTATCCCAGCTCCTGTTCTCTCTAGCTAAGTGGCGTCGGAAGCCTAGTGGTTAGGCTACCGGACTCGTAATCATGAGATTGCGGGTCAGAGGGTTCGAGCCTCAGCTCGGTCCGACGATGTGTCCTTGGGAAAGGCACTTTACACGAATGTCCCACTTGGCTCGGTCCTATCGGAGACGGACGTTAAACTCGGAGGTCCTGCCTCTTAAATAACGTAATGGTGTTGATAGGGGCGTTAAAGTCATACCATTTTCATACCATTTCTCTCTAGCTTTGCTACAGAAGCATGGATAAGAGCGGCTGTGATATGCTTGCGGTGGGATGTTGTGCGAGTCAAGTATGGTGTCTAAATGTCAACAGATAGGGACAGTCCTAGGGCTAAGGGGTTCGAGCCGTAACTCAGACAACCTGTCATCTTTCTTCGTCAGTTGGTTTTGAAAGTTAACTCTCTCCTCTCCAGTGTCAGGAAGTACTACACAACCTTCTAAGTGTCTGATCTCCCTGAATGATCTTTTGATGAGACCAAAGGCTCAGTCACGTGCACATTTTGTATGGCCAGCCAAGAGAAAGGGCAGTGTGCCTCCCTGTCAACACCCGCCACAATAGAATATATATTGCCGCGTGGTGTTACTCTTGCTCTGGCCACAACAATTACCTGCATGGAAGAGGACCTCAGTCTCATCAAGACCAAAATGTTCCCAAAAAAACCAATGCAACAATGACACAGCACTATTTGCCCCCCTCCCAAAACTCCATGATTCTTCCATAAGGCTGTCTCCCTGGCAGAACGATTTGCCTTGGCCTCTGCAAAATTAGAAATAAATCCCACAACAACCGTTACTTCTTTAAGAGCGTGTCTTCTCACCTGTTTAGAGCCTTTATGAATGCGCTCCACAACACCATGCTTTTTTAAATGTAAAACCAGATTTTTTAAACGTTTTACACAGACGTGCAGTGAACAAACAGAAACATTTCACGACAAACTGTCTGACCTTCGAAAACGGAAATGGTGTTTTGAATTTCTTTTTTTAGTTTTAAATCTATAGCATCCTACACAATTTCTGCGAATTTCTGTAAAGTCTGGAACTCTTTTCTCTATGTATAATTAATGGAACTTCTATGTTACCTGTAATGCCTCTCCAATTCTTTCAGTAATTTTATAGTAAAATCTGATTGTCCATACTTGGTCGGCCTCTTTAATTATGGAATTTCGTTTTCATGCGCGCATCGAAACTTGAAACAAAACAAAGGCATTCACTCTAGCAATATCAATAATGTTGTTAAAAAAAAGATCTTCCTGTACTTTGTAGTTTTTCTGTCAGAGAACTTTATATTTACCTATCATTTGATCTGAATGACCCACTCCACCCATAAATTCGTGACATTCTTTCACGACCTCAGGCTGACTGACGCGTATCTCAGGAAAGGTACCATTGGTTTTGGATTGATGCCTACAGAAAATTGTATTGGTGATGATGCTTACAATTTTATTATCTTTCCACTGACCTATACCAATGCAGCCCGTCCTTATCCACCTCATCCCTTCCCTCTCCGTTTGTTTATTAAATGTTTTAACATCTTTCAAGTCATCGGGAAAGCCTCTACGATTTACCTGAATCGTTTTGCAAGCGTTGTCTTTTTTCCCACAAAGAAGAAAACAACTGAAAGGAAGAATAAAAATTATCCATGCATAAAGGATGTTATAACCTTGACCTAAATGACTTACACAAATTCATCTACGTCATAGGCCGATCCAAACATTGAGCGAGTGCCCTCGTCTTTCCCTGTGTAAACTTCATAATTGTATGTGTACTGTTCCCAGTCATTGAATCTGCAACCACCCGTAACTTCATCATTTCCCATTTAGATGATTTTTCCTTTCTGTAATGCCTGAAACTGTATCTCCCCTTCTTTTGAACCATCCTCTCGTCTTTGCTAACACACTGGTTAGGTTACCAATACTTCACTTGCATTTCCTTCTTTAAAAAATTGTGCGCAAATCTAGCTCTATCTTTCCCTAGCTTATCATCATCTCGCTCGGTGTCTGGATTGCATAATTTAAAAAAAAGACTGAATTTGTTTGAATTTCAGCTTGGTCATCATATATGCCCCTGCACATAGTCCATGAAAACATGTCTTTGTAGACCAAGACAGTGATAAGTTTGGTAGTCGAACAATGAACTATAATAAGCTGTTGTTTTTGTGCTGTGTCCGACATGACGGGCGTGCAAGATAATCTGTTTGTCAGTTCCTTCGTTTTTGTCTGGTTTTCCCCCATGACTTGACATCAGTCCATCTCAGCTGTCCAACAAACTTGAACTGGCGTCGGTAGCCTAGTGGTTAGGCTACCGGACTCGTAATCGTGAGATTGCGGGTTCGGGGGTTCAAGCCTCAGCTCGGTCCGACGTTTTGTCCTTGGGAAAGGCACTCTACAGGAACTTTCCACTTGGCTTGGTCCTATCGGAGACGGACGTTAAACTAGGAGGTCCTGCCCCTTAAATAACCTAATAGTGTTGATAGGGGCGTTAAACCCATACCCAGAACATGTCAGGGTCACCGGTTTGTTGGGTCCTGTCAGCCGGGCGTACTGATTAGAGAATAGGCAGATCTGATTCTCCATCTCACTGCAGAAAAACAGCTTGAAGACTGATACTGTGGAAATTAGAAGAGGAGAACAAGACATGTGTTACATGACTCATCTGGGAAGGATAGTCTGCTGGGAACATCGATATCTATCGAACTTTTCTTGGAAAATTGCATTTTTAAAATAGAAAAATTGCAAAAAATTGCAACCTTCCCATCCCTGGCGCAATAAAATGGGCTTAAAATTTTCAGTTTAAAAACAAGACAATTTAAGTAGCATTAAAGCAGAATAGCCTTTTAACAAATCTTGATTCACAAATACAATTTTTATTAACAACATTTACTAGTAACAACACACGAGTAGGTTAACAATAAGTTATTTACCATATAATACCGCGTGACGCAAAAGAAACGGAACCCCCGGTTTTCGTAATAACTTTTAAATGAATGTATATTTAAAAAATTTAGTAGATACCTGGTACTTGGTTCATGCAAAGATCTAGAAGTGTATAAAGTTCCATTAGGTTTAGTCTAAAAACAAAAACTTGACGTGAGATTTACGAAACAAACTCTTTTTTATTTTAGTTAGTTTTAGTAGAGGTTTTACGGCGCTCGCAAAACTGCATAAGACGAAACAACCTCCAAGATTACGAAATATGCTCCAGTCAGTTCAAGTCCTGTTGCATTTTTCTCTTGAAACTTTCGATACACCTGTAATCTGTATTTTAGATCAATTTCAGATACTTTCTTTTTTAAAACCTGTATGGTATAGTTATAACACAAAGTTAAATCAGCAAAAAACACTTTCACATAAACATGAATTTAATAATAATAATGTAGATCATTTCTATAGCACACACTTAAATAATTATTACCAAAAAATAGAAGAAAAGAATGACAGAACCACGATTAATTCGTTGACAATTGTTGTTCTTGTAATGGACAAAAATCTTTTTTCTGCAAAGTGGTGGCTACGTGTTTCAGAAATCGTGCCTTCCTGGCATTTGCATGAAAAAATATTGCATTCATGTTCTTCACAAACTTTGTGACACATTTGAAGGGCCTTTTAAAAGCATCCCCGAACAAGTTCATTCATGACATAGTCACGTAATGTGCACAGCCTTTGGAAATACAGCTTGGAAGACAGTAGTAAATGCCTTATTAAGCATTGTCCGTGTTGATGAATCTGACATTTTCAAAGTTTATCTTGAAGTCCTGGACTGTCTGCAAAACTGTTTGAGCTACAGTAGTATGATTGGTGGCCTGGAGATAGACTGTGTTCAGAAGATACGTCATGATCCGGTTATCCACTGAGGGCTCCAATGGAGCAGCAAGCACATTTCATTTAAAACAAATCTGGAGGAAGAAACACTATTTGTTTGTAAACAAATAGCTGCAGTTAAAATTAAAAACAAATGAGGAAGAAACATTTATCTGTAAACAAACCTCTTTACTGCAGTTAAGATTAAAAAGAAATATGTTCAAATAAAGTGTTCGTTTTCAGTATTACTCATTTTTAAAAAAGCAAAAGACAAAATATAAAATACTCTTCATTTCCCTGGGGGACCAGAACAAGGCAGTCTTTGGAAAAACTCCACTGTACCGTCAGAAGACAATCAAGCCGTCTGTTCTGTTTACGGCGGAAGTAGTTGTCTCTGACAACATTGTGCTCGTTGTTTATATTTGCTCCATTCTAAAACAGCAGCAGCCCAAAGGGTAATTTTGTTGCCATCTGCCATCGACAAGGTTTTTCTGAAAATAGTCGATGTGCTAAAATGTATTCATCAATGTCTGATTGGAGAATTTTCAAACTGCTGTTGGCAGTCTGATGATTGACATCAGAAAGGGGTATGTGTGCTTTGAGCTGCACCTTCCAACATTTATCAACGTGCCTTGAACACCACAATTTTGGGGTTTGTAGTAGGCCTATAATATTGGATTAGCCGGGTCTGACATCATCTGGTTAACCCACATGTCTAAACTCACTGCATCCTCGGAATGTTTGTTATGAGTGCGGTCAAGATTGTAGTTTCTGTATGTTACGGATGTCTTTCTTTGTCACCAAGGCGTAAAACACCTACTCAGTCAATCACCAAGGCGTCCCTGTTTACTTCAGTAACTAGGGATGCCAAATGTCCGGTTTTTCCGTTTTTATCCACTTGCAGAGGAAAGGGGAGAGGTAAGGGAGAATGG